GAGAGGCTGTTTTACCCCACATGGAGTACCAGATGGATGCAACCCAACACACCAGAGCAAAGCAGATTGGGTCACATAAGCTGTTAATTATAAAATATATTAAAGTCTCAAATAATTATCTGTGATTAGTTTCTGGTATCCCATTATTCATATCTGGAAGCACGGTCAATCAATGCAATCCGATTGGTATAGCAATAGTTTATGGAGCCCTGAAACAGTTTTACACTTTTCCTTTAACCTCCAATCGAATGAAAACAAGCTTTTTACTCTTTTCCTTGAATACTAATAGTAGCCAAACCAAGCCACCTCGAACACCCTTCGTATTGCAGGATCATAAGAAGAACATTTTTTTGTCCATGGTCCAATGTAGAAAGTCTACAACAGTTTATTTTATGCCATTTATGAGTGGTGGGAGGGAACTGAAAGTCAGCTGGTTGGAGGAAATATCGAACGTGTGTGGTTTGATATTTCTTTCATCATGTCATCCTGTCAAATTACAACAGTAAAAACTTATATTTAGACTAGAAGAGAAAGTATAACTTTGTATATTTCCATTTTAATAATTAAAAAGCGCTGGCCTGGAAATTCAGAACACATCTATTATATACGGTGCAAACATCGTTAGTGTTGATAGAGCTAATAGTGTTTACCTGTGGGGGAACCGAGTGAGAGCAACTTCATTCTCTGCTCAGGTAGACATTACTCCTCTATATATTGATATTGCAAATTTTATTTTTTTTGCTGCTGTGTTAATGCAATAAATGTTCTATAGAGAACCTTTAAACAACAAACGTGTCTGATGACCTTTACTAGATTTGTTTCTGTTTTATAGATAGGCCTACACACTAACATAGCTAATGTAGTTCATTAATCTGCTTGCATTAGATTTGTATGGTTTATTGCGGAACAGATTGTTTTTTCATTATATAAGTATATCTCACAACTTACCTGAAATGCCTTGAGCGATCTTAAAAGGACTGTTCACACAAATGTAAGCAACCATTTCTTCCTTGACAGAAAATCATAAAAGAATCATGATGATTGGATGTTTGCAAAATCACAATGAGCTTCCTAATTTGGAGCTTCCTCGTTTCCTGGCAAGGTTGTCAATCGTTTCGCACGGGGATTATCCCTCCTTATTTATACTTGGTGAATGTGTTACTAAATGCAATTAGGGACTTTGGGAGCACGATCAAGAACTGCCTGAAACTGGGCACATTTAACAGCCATGAAAGATTGTGTGAGGACTGATGGTCGAGCTGTATACAAGGTGACCTCTTGTCGCCCCTGAAGAGCGACAACGTTAATTTGCAACAAAGGCGTCCCTTGTGGCTGAGTCTCTTGTGCACACACTCCAGCTGAATGTCAGACCACAACAGCTACTTCCAATTAACAGCAGTGACTCTTTAGAACACTGTAGAGCCTTTCTTTCCTTACATCCATTTTTACATCCACTGCGGTACATTTTGAGAATTGTGTTCGTATTACAGTAGACTGAAATTATTAAATTGGAAACTAAAGTGTCTCACAAGGCGCTCATGGAGAAATCAGAGAAAAGTGAAACCCGTGTGATGGTGATTTAGGTCATTTCTTTAATTAACACTTAACTGTGTCATTGTCTCTTAATTTGTTACAGTCTGGGCTGAGAATGGCATGCAGGATCAGCATGTGCTCGACTGCCATAAGAATATACCTCATACATTTACATAGAGTTGAATGAAAACCTCACTGACTGAAAAACAGAGTTAAGTTCATGAATTTCGAAATCTTTGCGGGGATGTTGCAATTGGTTGCCTCATGTTGCAAGGTGTTACTGGTATTGTGTCCACACACCCTCGATGTTTCCATCTGTTAAGGTTTCTGACATTCTGAACAGAAAACAGATCCAAGGACAAAATACAGCGGCCAAATTGTTGCATAGAAAGAGCATGTACCAAAACCTGAAAAGTAGTGAGAATAAAAAAAACTTTCCCATCAGTTTTAACTAACTTTTGTTGTTAGAATGACTGTGAACATTTGGCACTGTGGGAAACCCCTGCCTTTGTGTGCACGCGTAAATCAGAGACTATTAAGGGAAGTGAAGCCAAAAATCTGGAACCTTCTTAATTGTCACAACGCTTGTCTGTAACTTGCATTTCAGAGATTTACTGTAGCTATTTTCTCCACTTGATGGTCATTAGGTTATGCATAAGAATGAACTAACTGGCCTCATGCAGGGTTATCTTGAAATCAGTTACACCAAATGTTCAAGATCTACTCACTGGGGGCTATGGTGGGATTCATTAGGAAAACAAAACCCCATCCCATTAAACAGAAGCACCGAGAGGGGATATGACGGAATATGAACATTCAAACTAAATGAATGCTTCTCACAGTGCAGTAGTCTGTTAGAAATTATTATTATGTTATCATTAGTGTTTTGATATATTACCTTTTGTTGAATAAATGCTTTGAAAAGGGCATTTTAATTAAGACCCGTGGTGCCCAAGAAGAACTAAGAATGCAGCAGCCAGTCTGGCTATTCAGACGTTGCTTGCAGGTAATCCTGTGCACAATGATGATGTTACTGCAGTGTTATTCAATGAATATTAATTAATTTCCGTTGAAAATATTGTTATGTGCTCTGTACGGAAAACACCATTGGTCGCCTGTACCGAGCCTTTTGATCATCCGTACACAGGCGGAGGAGACTGTCCAATGGAAAATAAGGAGTGCTCACTAGTGTGCACTGAAGGGCAGAACGTGTACGGAACACTGTTATTCTATCTGACCTAGCAATTTAACACCAGTAAAATTGAATAAGATAGCTAGTAGCTAGGGATTGGCATGAGTTTCATCGCACAAGTACACATTTTTGAGGTTGGTATTAGTTCAACATAACGTCATTGACTCAATTTAGAGTCAAACTTGCGGTTTCTGATGTATATTCTTGTCACACTGGTTGTTGCCGGGGAAGTAAACAGCCACGCCTGTCTGTTCCTCCTGCTAGCAGTTAGCATGTAAGCATGACGGCGTTAGCCAGCGCTATAGCGTCGTCACTATACTTCAAAAGGCTGTGTGTCTCAAATACTCATTGCCTTGATAAACCAGCGGCATGCAGACCATAGACAGATGTCCATGTTGTTGTTTGCGCGCCAATTCGTTTTGATACAGGTTATTAAAAGGCCCCTCTCCAGACATGTTAAGACATGTAAAAATACTACTACTTCTATGTATTTTTTCAGTTATTGGCTAATCCTCCCAAAAAGTTCAATTAACTCGTTTTTCAAAAGCTCATCTTCTCCATCATAGCATAATCCATTCTCAGCGTATGTGCACTGGAGATTGGTTTACATTACATATTGGACAAGGATTGACTTCCGATTGTAATCAAAATGTAAACTGAGATTTAAGGTGAGCACGGAGGAACTTTCAAGCTTCAGCAGAGGAATGTGAAAACAGCCTTCCGGTGTCAAACACTGTGCATCATTCTGCACAATGAAGGTCAAACTACACAGTGAAGTATAAGCACAACACATTGTTAGGTGGAGGGGGACTTACGCCGTTCAACAATAAGTCTTTTGGGGGTAGAGCCTTTTCTGACAAGTTTCCCCTGTTTCCATGATGGAATTTCTAAAAGCAGGTTCTGTCAATACCTTTTAATTCCAAAGTCTTACATTTATTCTTTTACTCTGTACTTTATGTCCTTCGCTGGCTGGGTAAATGTTCAGCTGGCCTGTATTTGACCAGTATCGTTGTTGTATTAAATATTTTAACCGCCATGGTATTCTGCCGTGTGTGTAGCGTGTTTTACTCTTGCTGTGGGGACATTAATCTATTTTCACAGTCGCATTGTGTGGAGTCGCGTTCCAAAATGCACGTCCCCATAACATTACATTTTAGGGTGAAGACTTGGTTTAATGTTAGGATAAGGGTTGGTAGAGGTTATGGTTTGGTTAAGTCTCCAGGAAAATGAATGTAAGTCAATGTAACTCAAACATAACTCTGTGTGTGTGTGTCTGCGTATGCATGCATGCGAGTACCCATTACAATTGTTGTCATGTTTTCAAATGGGTACATGTGTTGTTGGGCAAAGTGTCTCATAACAGAACAGATCTATTGAACACTGAAAGCCAAACTGGCTACTATTGTACATTATAATGATATTTTGCTCGCTGTAATTAATCACACAGCCTTTTGAGCGTCATCATGTGCTTTACTTTGTTGCACACTTACTTGGGTTTATTTCATCTCACATGCATGTAGTAGTGCATAGTTGTGGAAACCATCATCTCCTCTTTCAGTGGATTTGTTGGTCAACTCACAAACCACCAACATAAAAGCTCATTTGTGTTATATAAACCTTTACTAAACCACTGAACTGATCAGTGTTTAGGAAAAAAATGCATGTGTGTTCCAATAACCATACCTCCATTCAATTAATATGCCAGAAAAATATCTAGTATGTCCTAATACACAGTATATCAAATACAGTTTGCCACAAATACCAGGATGTACTGCGTCTGATACGTCATATTTAATTCTGAGGAGAAAACACTGTCTGGACAGATTGTTTGGTATCTCCAATTCGGTGGTCCTGTGGGTCTAACTTCAAAGGAGTCAGATCCAAATATCAATCCAATCAATCCAGTGATACTTGAAGCTGAAACTTACAACACATTCAGTATTAAAATGTAGTCTGTAACTTACTTCATAATACAAGGGGCCTAAAGATTAGCTTTGGAAATAATGAAGGCAAATATCCAACAAACACACACACAAAACTCCTCAATCTACTACTGTCTCTAAATGTAGCACTTGAGTAGATCAGCATATTTGATAAAGTGGATGTGCTTATATAATACTTGCACATTTTAGGGTTGTACCCTTTTGAATGTGCTTATTGTAATTTGCTGTATCTCTCAATAAATGTAATGTAATCATTTAATTCACAAGAAGTAAAAACTGGAAAAATGATGACAAATGCAAGTCATGGGAAGAAAAACACAAACTTTATTCTCTTCTTTTTACAAAACATTTTCATAATCAACCTCAATAAATAATAAATCAAATACGGTCCTTCAAGAAGCAAATGATTAAACCTAAACATGATCAAACACATTTCCTCAAACAGCATCATATAACGCTATAGCCTTTATTTTTTGCTGCTCTAGCACATGACAAAATGTAAAATGACAAAAGCAACACAGCAAGACGTGTTTGACCAACACCGCATTGTAGAATGATGAGCACATGAGCGATGCCATGATTATGAAACTCATGAAAATCAAAAAGGCAACTTAGACGTTTGCAAATGTGTCCTACTGTAAAGTAACATAACTGCATCATGGCTGCCCTGTCTGCACACAACCAGCAGGCACCTTGAATCTACGCACACAACCATTAATGTGAACTTTACAGAAAAAAGTTAAACTACTTTAATGATGAGGTTCTGCAGATGATAGGACATTTGTAAATTAAACATTAAAAACCAGGTAGCCCTCAGTTAGCTATTCCTCAGTTTCCATCTGAAACACATGTGGATGCAGAGCTACAGATTTACATTCGTAATGTAAATGTGAAGCAATGTGTAAATGTAAAGCAGCCGAGTTTCAACAACATCAATATATTACTGACTCGAAACCGATGTATTATCGATTCTCAAAAGTACCTGAGCCTAAACTGCAATGACGCAAATCATATTCTCCAAACATAATTTCTATAGTTATCATCGGAGTAATGCATATCCAGGCTTTGGGAGTAAAATGTATAATTATATTATAATACGGTGGCTTATAAATAGAAGCTAACCTGCCATCCATGAAACGCAGTCATGAGATTGACATCATATTACTTGCAGGAGTGTCCAGTTTGACTATGAAGTGATAGATATAGATATCATTATTTTATCTTATAGCCTACATTTTGCAATGAGAGCTGCAGATACCAATGAGGCCATTCATTCTTTGCAGAACATACAGAAAGGTCTTTGTTTATATTTGTTGTCTTACATCACAGAAATTAATAATCATTCTGCCTCATATGCTACTGCACAAAGGTAGGTAGCCTGATTTAAAATGAAACCTTTAAATTTGTTTCAACATGTAATTGACAGCAGTTGAAAGAGATTTTGAAATACATTCAGCTTTAGTTTGAACATGGACACAGGTTGGGTGTGTGTGTGTTAGTAACAAAATCCAACAGCTGAAACAGATATGCAGCGTGGTGTAACCAAGGAGATACTGTATTCATTAAGAGTCATAAATGTATATGTAAGCCTTGACTGTATGTACATTGATTGGCTGATGTAACAATTGATTCATTGTAGGTACATATGTATTGAAAATATTTCTCTAATGTTTCATACATGCAAACCAGAAACGCTTGCTTGTTGCTTACCAAACCAGCCCATGACTCTCATACATAGATGGCAGCACGAATAACATGATTACATTATGTTTGTGCCGTATAGGTGAATACAGTAGGGTTTATTTGTAGCATGCACTTAGATTTCACTCTTCACTGTAAAGTTTTTTGCCTATTTTCATTTGTCCACCCAACCTTTTCGTCAGGTCTCATAGGAAACTCGGAAAGACGGATATTTGTGCATTACAGTGGATGTTTTTTGGCCTGTACCCATGAGGTCATTTTAAATTGGAGTCAGTGTGACACATCCAGATCATGTTCCATTCCCTTTCACCATTCAGTCTTCCTTTCCACCTGTTTGATTTTGAAATAATTTGGAAGTGCAGTAGTGTGTCATGCAGATAAATCTATAGTGTAAAACTCAGACATCAGGCAACTTTAACTTTACCTTTTTTGTTCAGTTATGCATTGACAATGGTATGGTAGTTTTGTGAATATGGAATAAATATGTGTCAATATATTGTGTTAATATATTGAATAGAATGTGGGGTGCATGAGAGACAAGCTTGGTTTGAATTGCTATAGTATTCTTTAGGTTTACATTGTATTTATTTTCGGCTGCCTCCAGTGCAAGAAAGAAAAGTGCAGTGACGTGTTAAAACATGAGGTAAAACGAAGCGGCGCAGTGCGTGAGATACCATGAAAGGTACTAGAGTGTCAGAAAAGTAAGGCGACCTTTCAGTAACAGAAACATCAAGGACAGAGGAGTGAGGCATCCTAGCAACAGTGCAGATACACATGTTTACAGTAAATACGAGAAATCATCAATCACTTAAATATCAGGACAATAAAATACAGATAAATAAATATACTAGGTGCAATGCCATTCACTCAAAGGGTCATGTGATGCACTGAGGGAAGATGGGTAGAAATTAGAGTGTGCCCATTCCAGTGACTTCAGACGTCAGCCTAGAACAGTTCAGGGAAGGTGGAGGAGGGGGGGGGGGGGGAAGGTGGGGAGGCAGACAGAGAAAATGAAACAGCTGTGAAAGAAGAAACTTTCGCTTGAAAGTGAAAGTTATGCTGCTATGGCTGGCTTTGTGGAAAACAAAACAAAAAACTGGTGCCAGCAAAAACTCGAGCACAGATTTGATACCATATTTTTCATTGTACCTTTTCCCATAAAGCTTCTAAAAAAATATGGTAACATAACTATGCAACACTAACCACCTTCATGAAGCCATGCAGTGGATAGAAAAGAATGGTGGTGTCATGAGATTTGTAGAAATTGCTGCATTCCCTGACAGAGGCATCACAACCTATTTCTTTCTAACAACATTGCTCAAGTGGCAGTTATGTTTTTTGTCTTTTTTTTCTTAGCTTTTTTGTTCATTTTACATTTTTTATAAATTTTACTCTTTCCGGACAATGACATAAATTCGACTAAATAGGGAAATGGATCTAATATAGTAATGACAGAAAGAAATACAATATTATTATTGACATGATGCATGCTAAATAAAGAGTCTACTAAAAGGAATAATTTGACATTTTGGGAAATGCGCTTAGTCCCTTTTCTTACAGTAAGATGAGAATACCACTCGTATGTCTGTACGCTAAAGCCAAGCGATGGTTAGCTTAGCTAAGCATGGCTTAAAACCTGGAAATAGGGGTAGACAGCTAGCCAGCGTGGCTTTTTCTTATGGTGGCAGAATCTGCATTCTAGCACCTTTTACAACTCGCTAATACATCACGTTATGTTTGTTTTTAAAGGTAAAAAACAAACTAAGCTAAGAGTGCCAACAGCGCTAATAGTACAATCAACGGCAACAGTGTTTACAGAGCTAACAGTGGTATCCGGAGGGTGGCCGGTGCGCTTCTGCAACAATGTTGTTGGTCGGGACAACGTTATCAGCTATAACCGTCCTATGAGCACAGTGCAGAGCGGCAGCCATGAGGTAGCCACTAGGCACGCTCACATGAAATAGCATTTCCTAAAAGGAATGCGCGGACGGCCAGACTATGTCAACAAAGCACGGAGAAGCTCAGTTATCTGCTATATTTAATGTTCTGAAAACTGTATAGAGAACCTTTATTTCATTCAAACGCTGAAGTGTAAAAATGAAATGTTAAGGTTTGCACAGGAGCGTTATGTGCCAAACTACAGTGACTTCCTGGAGCCTTGATGTCCAAGTGAGGTTGCCAGGCAATTATGTTAATTAGTGATCTTTAGATAGATAGGATAGAGCCAGGCTAGCTTTTTCCAGCCAGCTAAGCCAAGCTAGATCCAGCTTCATATTTAGCTAACAGACATGAGCGTGGTATTGATCTTCTTATTTAAACCTAAGCAAAGATAACAATAATAATAACTGAACATCCCAAAATGGCAAATTATTCTTAACGACACACTGGCTACAATCCATTTAAAACAAATCCCAGTGTTTTTTACTGTAGGTCTCCAACAGGCTAATGCTAAAGTGTTTTGCAAAACCAAGGGAGTCGAGGGGAAGTTCCATGGGATAACACAAAGAGGTTAATTGTGAAGCAGATTTGGGGGTGACTTCAGGATGTAGTCATGGATGAGGGGTCATTCCACATGGCAGCCACGTCCCTGAACCTGCCATTGAAATTGTGGGAAAGCAATAGCCATTAGTTTCTCAGCGGACTGTTTTCTGAAATTCCCTTAAGAAGTCAAAGAAATGAAGTTGAGTATCAGTATGTGGGTTATCCTGCTCTGACGCTGATAATGTTTGCCTTTGAGGTGTAGGTAGCCTGTGGACATCAGTTGAGTTGTGGATAACACTTATTTTCTCTGTTGATAATGAATTACTGGTTTCAGCGGATAGATAGGGAAAAGGTTGTTGTGGAGCACGGCAAAAGAATGTAAATGCAAAATATGTTCCTCAGTATTTTACTGGTATGTGCAGTATCTATACATCTGAATATCTTGTCTTGTACACGGCTCAACAGATGTTGTCTCACAGTTAGTTGTTTTTTAATTTAATAACATAAGTAGCTTGTGTGTATTTACAAAAAGATCATCTGTTATATTAGGATTTGTCATGAATATTTTGCCCATGAACCTTCCAAACTGAAGTTGGCACTGAGCATTTGATGATTTACTTATTGAACATTCAGTTTACTAATCTGCAGGTTCTGTCCAAAGACACAGCTTTGTCTCAGTAGTTGGCATTTCTCCCATGAGCCACTTACTTGCAAAGAGTGTGCTGAAACTTAATGTCTACACTTGGGTGGAGTTACGGAACAAAAGTAGAAAGGAAAAACCAAGAACATAACCTGAATAGCCGCATTATTCATGACCTTATCTGTCACTTGTCAAAACCTGACAGATATCGTGCTTTTTATGGCAACTTATCAAAGTATCAGTGTCATGAATGTCAACACTAAACTAGCAAGCTATTTCTTTTTCTTTTCCTATAGCGGTTTACTCGGATCTTTGATATGAGCATGGTCCCTCAGATGTTGTTTTTATCCTTTAGATTGTGCTGGAGGCCAGCAGTTGGAGTGGAAAGGTTACCTGGCATTGATGAGATACTGGGCTAGGCTGATATTAGCAGGAGTCCCTGTGATGGTGATCTGGCGCTCTGACGAGCCCTCCATGGCATTCGCAATTTTGATCTGCGCTCCAGACATCTGTCGAATCTCATTTATTTTGGTTCCCTGGCGTCCAATGATGCAGCCTATTAGCTGAGGGGAAAGCAGAAGTCTTTGGACGTGATGCAAGGAAACGTCCGTATTGTCTTAATACATACATGCTCAAGACCTAGAGTTATACAATTGACATCTAAAAGGAAGTTTAATGGGTAATGAAATGGCCAGGGTTTCATTTAAATACCATCATACAGGAAATTAAGTTTGATTAATGATAGCAATGGATCAGCTGATAGGGGTTATTCTGCTGTGTAAACATTAGGAACTGAAATTTGCAGGATTATTTTTTGTTTTGTTATAAGTCATTTGTGCTAATAACATTCAAATACATTTGAAACAGGATTATCTCACAGTACATTTGCAATCCGTCTTCTCTGTGACAAAAGACTGAATGATTTGAGGTACTACACTGTGACATATATTACAATCTTTTTGCACAATGACCAATCATGTCAACATCACCTAAATGTATATGACATGCTAAATAAAAGACATCATTTGAAAAGTACAGAAATTTGAAAAAAAACGGCTATCCATCAGACAGCTGCCTCAAGAAGGCATTACTCACATCATTGGGAATGGTGAGTTCATGGGTGCTGGCTGGTGGACTGGCATCCAAACCTGAATTGGGGAGCAATGGGATAAGAAAAAGGAGATTTGACTTTAAAAAGTCCCTTTAACCTTTCGAAGGACTATTTTTTATATTTTGGGAAATGGGCTTATTCGCTTCTTTGCCAAGAATTGGATAAGAAGATTGGTACCACTCTCATTGTGATGGTTGGTGACAATGTTGTCAGCTAACTCTCAGCTTTAAAAGTGTTGGTAGGCAGATTTTACAGCTAGCCAGGCTAGCCACGATAGCTGATTTCCTACTGTTACTAGTCTTTTTTGCTAAGCTAAGCTAACTGGCTGTTGAATCTAGCATTAGAGTGGTATTTTTACTCTTGTCAAGATAATGACTGAGCATATTTTCCCAAACTATCGAACTGTTCTTTTAAATATACAACCTTATTTATTACTAAATTAAATATTTGTCTTACTTTATTTTCACACCACTTCTCTTTATTAAATTGCTCGTGTTTGTGTGTGTGATTTGATGTGAGAAAAGTCACTTCAAATGCATTTAAGGGCATTGTTTTAAAGAACTTGTTTTGATTCAATCAATAAATCCATGGATAAGAGTAACACACATCCGTTTAGATGAAAGTGGTAGAAAAAGATTCAAACATATTTATTATTGAGATCTTCAGTTGTTTTTTTTACAAGTTCAAATGCAGAACATGATACAGAAAGAATAATATATGTACCAAGGTCCATATAAAAATAGATTCAGTGGGTTATTATTACAGTACAATGTGGCAAACCTATTTCATGGGAGGTTTTCATCTGTAATGGAAAGTTAAGAAAGCTAAATATGTGTTGGAGGAACGATCCTGTTTCCAAGTGATAACACAATTATGAATTCATTGTTTTAAAGTGAAGCCCAGTGCTTTTTTTAAAAATGCATTTCACCGGCATTTCAGACAGAGCCAGGAGAAAAATATATACAGTACATGAAAAAATCAAAGAAGGAGAGAAACCACAGGGGTCAAGTCATGCTGTGCCAAAAGAGAGATAAGGTGGAAGGTAGGGAAAGAGAAAAATGTTTCTCTGGATGCAAAGAGAAGGAAATGTCTAAAGGGCCTTCTGGGTACGTACCAGGGAAAGCAGGGGTGGTCTGTCCGAGAGGGGTAAAGGGGGTTTGCTGCATAGCCAACTGGTGGAGCTTGGTCAACTGCTGAAGGGGTTAGGAGGGAAAGTAGAACTAAGAGGTTACTGTTACACAGGTCACACCAAGAAATGAGGCAAACCAAAACTACAGTGAAGAAACGGTGAGGAGAAGGAGGCCATGACACAGGGTGGTGGAGGACAAAAAAGTAAGAGAAAAAGAGATACAGAGAGAAGGGTGATTGTCTGTCATAGAGTTGTAAATTGCTTGGTAATTTAATTATTATTCCTTTTCTGCCAAATTCCTTGTCATTTTTATATGAATCGATGAATTGATTTCCATTTGCCTCCTCAATTACCATGTGTCCTTCTAGCTGGCACTTACTCCGAACTAAAAACCTTAGCTTTTTTTACATGCCTGTCATAGAAGCCGCTCCCCCCCAGGACGTCCATCCCCTGCTGTGGATAATTTCCATCAAGAATGGGGGAAGACGGATGCTTTCAAGCCTTCTTCTCCTTTTAAGAGGAGTTTTAATGAGGGTGGAAGAGGGTGTCAAGCCTGTACTTGAGTGATTGTACCGTCAACCACCACCTCCAGTGGCATCAATCACTGCCCATCTTTGAATTAGTGTATGTGACACACAGTAGCTCTTGAGATGCTCTTACGACAAGGACAGATGAAGGCAGATTATTAATGGACACTATATGGTCCAGTGGAATTAAAGGGGTGTCTATATCAAAACTGCCATTATTGTCTTTGTCTTTATTGTTATCCCCAACAGTCAACGTTTAGTTATCAACCACTGGTAAGAGTTCCTTCCGGTAGTTGAGCTGTAGTTCGCACTTAAAGGGACAGTGTGTAGGATTTGGTGGCATCTAGTGGTTTGGTTGCAGATTGCAACCAACTGAATAACCCTCTGCTCACTCCTCCCTTATCAAGACTCGTCGTAGTACAACGGTTAACATAAAAATGGAAAAGGATCTCTCTGGAGCCAGTGCTTGTCGGTTCTTGGCTACTGTAGAAACATGGCGGTGCAACACGGCATACTCTGTGAAGAGGACCCGCTCCCTATGTAGATATGGAGCGGTAGATATGGAGCTCTCTAAGCTAACGAAAAACCAACTATTCTTAATTTTGGGTGATTATACACTAATGAGAACACAGTTATGAATGTTAAATTTAATTTATGCTAATAGATCCTCAAAAATGCTACACACTGCCACTTTAAACCACAAGGACAGGGATTTAGGAGGCCAAGATTTACGACGAGCCTCTAAATAACTTCAAAGAGCTCGTGTGTCCATGTAATAAGATGTCTGCAACTATTTTTTTATCATACATGATTAAGATACAGGTAGAATTCTTGACTGAATAAAAAAGAGACCAAGAACTCACATCTGGATGTGGTATGGCATATTGTCCCTGAATTGTGTAGGCCTGAGGAGATGAAAAACACAACAGATAGCAGGTTTTAGCATCTCATTTACAATAAGAAGGGGAGAAAATCCAAAACAGTTTGTGAACTCGTCAGAAAATGCAATCCATCGGTTTTGTGTACAGGGACACAAATTGTCCGTTTATTTCGTGTCGCTCGGCACGATTTCTTAAGCAACAAAACCTTTGGACACACGTTGTATATCACTGGTCTCTAGTTGAAAGTCCTGTGTTTGTTGGAATCAGAATTCTGATTCTGATTGGAACGGGTTGGAACTGTCCACCTACCTTCGCACCATCTATAAGTGGTCTTTCTGGATATTAAATACTACATCACTAAATCTGACCATTGCATGGTCACGTCGATGCAAAAATAATTGACTTTCTATTTGCATTGTTTTTGTGCGGAGCGAAAAAAAAATATTTGACAGTTTGTAATTAAATACACAAAACACATAGTTTGTATTTCTGTGTTATTTCACATCCTGCTATGATACTGGGCTAGCAAATCACACAGAAAACCAAGTCAGCTTGTTCATTATCAGCTATATACAAACCCTCTTTACACTTTTAGCTCAAAGGACCATACAAATGTTTTGATTGCAAATATATTATGATCTTCAAAAACAGTAAGATATATTACAGTGACTGATCTTCTTAGCCATACTCATTTCGACCACATTCAAAGCGGTGACATCAACCCAATATGCAGTCAACATGTTCTCATCCCAACTGGTCAAGACACCAGGCGTCGCTCAACTGTAAGAGACCCACATAGACTCATTTTTGTCTTTTTTAGGAGGGGAAAGGGGATCTTTAAGAGGAGCTGGCAGGTCATCAGTATAAGCCGCATCATCTGAAATATGGGAACCAGAAGATTCATTTGAGATGCTCAGCAGGGTGTGTCAAGTGGTTCTAGTCATGAATCAGAAATAGAAATTAAGTAATTAATTAAAATGAATCGTGAAAGTGTAAAAGGGTGTAGAACATTATATTGGACGTAATGATGGCCATTATCATGCTCTATTATGTCTTATAATGTTTTGCAGCAATTTTTAGATTGATACCATTTGTTTCATAGATGTGGTGCTAAATTTAACAATTTTATACATCTCGAGAATGGATTAAGACACACATTGAGACACCAATACCTTGAGGAAGTCCATAGAAAAAGTTTTTAATTTTCATCAAAAACTTTTGACATTTGGAAGTATCACATTTTTGCCGATTGGATGGCGAGCACTTGAAACTGCTCAGAAACCGACTTTTTGTCAATGTACTTTTTCTGAATGCCAAAGGTCTCTTGTTCTTGGTTGTAAAGTTTCATAAGGGTGAGATTAACCTAGAGGTCACAACAGGTCATTTTATACAGTGAATCAAGTTTTGAAAATGGTTTCACTATGTCAAATGGCTACTCTGGGGACATTATCACACATGAATATATTTGGCCTCATTGAATCCAAAGAAACTTAGCTTGTCAGTCATATGCAATTTGTGTAATTCCAAGACTGATTAGGGACCCCTGTATGCAGAAATATTCAAATAGTGTGGGAATGTCTGTAAAGGGGGGACTCATGGGTACCCATAGAACCCATTTTCATTCTCATATCTTGAGGTGAAAGGTCAAGGGACCCCTTCATAAGGGCACAAGCCAGTTTTACTTCACCAAAACGTAGCCTAACTTTGGAGCGTTACTCAGGCAATTTCCCAACAAGCTAGCATGACATGGTTGATGGTTTAGCTTCAAGACTAGAGCCAGCTTCAGCTTCTTAAAGACAATATGTCGGCTACGAGTCTGCACTGGATAGCCCAGCACATCAAATCATGATGGCCCACTACAGCCGCAGTAAACATGTTGTGAATTCAAACAAAATCAACTCAAAAATGACCTCAAAGTCACCAACAATTTTGTCTTATGTTGCATTAAACATCCACTGGGTATGAGTTCCAGGCAAAGGTAAAACCACCAAATTGTCACAAGTATGTGAGGTTTCTCTCAAATTGGCTACATTTTCAAATGCAACCAACCGCTTTCAGCCCAGATCTGCAACTAAGGTAGGAAACAGCACATGAACTGCCAACACATTCTTACTCCCGACTTGTCAAATACCAACGCTTGGTTAGTGGCCCCAAACTTCAAACTATGACGCTCTCGGTACCCCTCTAGCGTCAGTTTTGGACAGGGCAGGGCAGGGTGTGTCAGTTTCCACTTGTGTGCATGGTGTCTTTTCAAATAAACTTCCGTATTCTCAGGAATTTCAGGTTGAGGCAACAAAATCACTTGGTTAGGTTAAGGAAAAGAGCACGGTTGGCATTAACTTGACTGACTAACGTCACAACCAAGTCACGTGACTGCCGACTAAAGTGAGTCATGTAACAAACGACACTAACAACTCATGTGACTGGGCTCACATTCACTTTTACCTTCACATGGGACACAAAAAGCCGTGTCCTGGAGGAAAGCTCTGCATTTGTTTGACCTATCTGTCTACACGTCCTGTGTGGACTATCTCGCTATTTATACTACATTAGTTGAATTCAGCCGCTAATAATGACAAGGGTGGGTTTACATCGGAGTTAGAGGAAAACGCATTGTGTCTCATACGGACGCTAAGGGGTGACTCTGTGCATCGGTATCAGACTCTGTGGGGCACTGACCAACCGTTGGTATTAGAAAAGTTGGGAGTGAGACTGTGTTGGAACTGCATACTCTGGTACCAAAGTCACATGTATTGTACACACATCAAACCAAGCTTGACTTTTTGAAGCAGTTTAACAATGTCACGCTACTTCTGCCTTTGCTGCTGACAGTGCACAAACCTATTTGCACGACTGCAAGAGGTTGTTTGTCAGGAAAATGCGAACACTGGCCATTTTAGTGTTTGAACATATAACCAATGCTGTGATGTGTTCCAGAGAGGACAGCCTCATGTTGGGTTGTGGTGGCAGGCATTTTTGCACATGAAAAGTAGAAAGGCTCGCAGGAACAAGCAGAGGCTGACGCTGCAGTGAAAATCTCACGTTGGCTGTGGGCACAAACTAACAAGCTAGAGCTACGTCAACTCTTACCTGGCCACCAGAAAAAATGACTGGTGTGGAGGCGGGCTTTGGGCGATAAGGGATGGTGGCACCTTTTGGTGGAGACTAAGAGAAAGGGAAGAGAGACGAGAGGCAGAGTTAGAGTCAGCATGTTTCTACTTTATTTTGAAAAAAAGATAAATGCTCGTTCAGCATTTTTGGGAAATGTACTGATTCTAAAAATGTATGAAAATTAGATGACACGATCCAAACCACTTTCAAGTATGTATGCTTAATATCTTAGCTTAGCATAGCATAAAACAATCCACCTACCAGCACAACCAAAGCTCACAATGTAGCATGTCATATCTTGTGTGTTTAATACGTATAAAAAAACGTAAGAGGTGGTGTTGGTAGGCAGATTTTGTTACCTTTGGAGAAAGTAACAGTATTTATGCTAAGCTACACTAACTGACTACTGGCTGGCGCTTCATTCAAATGAACAGATATGACGATGGTATTGATCCCGTCATCCAACGCTCAGCAAGGAATCTAATAAGCATATTTCCCAAAATGTTGAACTGTTTCTTTAAAATACTGTAGTACTCTTGTGTTTTGACGTAGTTTGTACAATTGTATGTATATGGAGCAGGGTATAGATTGTAAAAAAACATGATTTTTTCAATACTTCTTCGTGTTAAATACAGGAAAAGCATTCATTCACTTGGTAATTTACATGTATTCATGCTCTCGATCACATTTCATCAGAGAAACTGCAGAAAAAATCCGTCTGAGATAATATTGCATCTTGATAACTTTGTGCTCTTACTGTGAGAAATGTTTTTATTTTCTGGCAGCTTTTGAAAATTGAATTGTTGTTGGTGAAAACCAAAAAAATGAGTCATGGGGCTCAGAGGTATTAGGAGTCTATTCATGGAGGATTCAACAAAATCGGGTACGTGTGAAACCTGATGACGACAGATAAAATGAGCCTTCACCACCACGCTATTTTATCTTTTATCTTTTTTTTCCCAAGACAGCGGGGAGGTGATTTCAGTCAGGGAAGTTCCATTTGCAAACTTATTATAATGACACAGAGCTATAGATTCATGCTGAGCTGCAGCAACAGGGCTGTTCGAGACAGTGGAGAGGGCTTAATTAGATTTCCTCTGTAGCTGCTGTGCTGTGGAGGGAGGACTGTCCACTTAGGTATGTGCTTTAAATACAATATGAAGAAACAAGAAGTGTGTTCCTAATGTTACAGAAATAGGCTTGGGTATTTCTGTCAGTTCACCTGGATGGTTATACGCAAAAATGGTCAAGTGGTAAATACAAATTGCTTCCTCTAAACTGTAATGAGACAATTTTGCTATGTATTTACAAAGCAGTTACACCACAAATAATTCTCCAGTTTCTAATACCTATCCAAGTCTGCTACAAATTGGAAAGTACATGGCTAGACACAAATTACACTCTCAGGGCCTCAATTATGCAAGCAGAGTGCTTGTCAAGTTGACAGTTATTGACAACAATAATCAGGTGTTTTTGACCCAGACAAAGCCTAATTTGTGTCTTATATTATCTTTTTTCAAATTACAAACACTGATTTCCATTCAACAATCGATTCCTGAGAAAATGTGTGCATGAATGTCTCGCCAGAAATGTGACACAGCTTTTGTAGCCTGAAATTGTAAGTTCTTCAAGAATAAACAACTTCATTGTTACTAAAAATTAGCACTTGAATAAATTATCGCTCAATCTTGACATACTGTACCTCCAGCATGACCACACAGATTTGTTTGACACACTGGATGATGGCTTCTGGGGTCCCAGAGATTGTCACTGCACGTTCTGTGGAGTTGGGCAGCATGTCCCCTGCCACCTGGACCTGGGCCCCTGTGGACTGGAGTAGAGTAAGGGACTTTGAGGGACAATGTTGACAGGATTCAGTTCTAAGTTGCACAGGCTGTTGCTCATGATTTTGGTGTGTATACGAGTATTGAAAAGTGTTACTTTCTTGAACCTCTGACAACATCCAATAACACAGCTGGGTATGATCTGGTACTGTTGTAACCAGCTGTGTTGTAACATTGTACTACAACAGTGGCACATTGAGCCACTGCTGCACAGGGTGTGGATATAACATGTTCCCATCACTAGTTGGCAGTGCAGGTACAATTATTAAACTGTAGTCAGTCGGAGCATGTTAGCATGCTGACAATAGCGTTTAAGTGCAGCCACCCAAAGCCACTAGCATGGTTGTAGACCTTAGAACAGGGGTCTCAAACTCCCGGCCCGCGGGCCGAATCCGGCCCACCACGTCATTGTATGTGGCCCGCGAATCCGCCAGCAAAAAAATAAATAAAAGTTAAAAAAATAAAAGTTAAAAAAATTTTAAAAAAATTGAAAGTTGGACTTGATAATAAAAATATCCCCATAGTCGAAGTTATGAGATAGAAAGTCATAACTATGATAGAAAGTCATAATTCTGAGCTAGAAAGTCAAAATGATGAGATAGAAAGTCAAAATTATGAGATACGTAAACACACAGTCATAGAAGCAGCTCTTTGGCTGGTTACTGTACACTTGAAATGTAAATGTAATGTGAGTACATTGAAGACCACTTTAAACGTGGCTTTAAAACACATGAAATACTTCACGTGAGATTGTGCAAACGCACCCTTGAAAGGATTTTAAGCTTTGAACAAGGTTATTGTAATAACTTGTGTTTGATATTTGTCTTTGCTATTTTCTTTAATAGTTTGATATTTGATACAGTAATGTGGGTTTCTTAACCCTAAATTAAAAGGATTTAAGTTATAATAACAGAAATGTGCTTAAATATATTTTTACATTTATATAACTGCATGTACAATATTTTTACACTTGAATAAACAATAATCAAATGAAGAGAGTTATTTAACAATATGTTACGAGTAGTTACATTTACAACCGGCCCTTTGTCGGCGACCATGATGCTGATGTGGCCCGGAGTGGAAATGAGTTTGAGACCCCTGCCTTAGAGTCAGATGTGTATGTGTAGCCTTGTCTCTTAAAAAATTCCGTTCCTGAACGATGAAACTGCATTGTGAATAACCTTCAGAGGTAGTAAACGTATTTTGTACCGGATTACGTTTGTCTTTGACGTATCACAAATACGTTTCTAATGATAGTCTGCGTAAGGTAGGTTGAGGTGGTGGATGGGTGAATGGGTCAAACAAACACAGGGCTTTTACCCAGGAGGCCACTGTTCATGTCCTGTGTTAAACCAAAAGATACCGTTCGCTTATTTAAATTCCAGTTTGTAGCTTCAAAAATAAAATGAACATGGTCATTTTGGCCAAAACAATGATGTTTTTTACCTATCCAAATACTTTTTTTGCCTTAACCTAACCTCAGTTAACAACCGTAGTCACATATTTAAGTAAAACTGAGAACGTAATCAGAGTGAAAATACGTTTTCCTTGAAACATCATTGTGAATGCAGTATATTTGTATGGTAAAGTAATTTTATGGGAAACAGGGTTGGTATATGTAGTAGTATTAATTCCGAGGATGTATTGTGCCCCTTCAATTCCACAAACTATAATAATCTGACTTTGCTTACTCATGCTTGTAGACCCCCTTAGAGGAAAACGCCTGTGTCAGATAGGATGACATGGCTAGAGAACTCTGTCTATGCTACAACGTGTAACCTTTGCTCTGTCACTCCTCAAGTCACTGACAGTGGATGAGTTACATTTCCATTTCCCAAAGAGTATAGTTGTTGAGTCTATGCTGATTGGGTGAACGTAAAGTATGTAAAATATTCAATGTGCTGCCATCATGAGTTGAGTATAAAAAGTCTTCACCTGTGCTCATTAAACTATTGCTGCAACAAGGTGAGAATTTAGGCAGCTATTACATGATCAAATTCCAACATATCAAATAAAAACAACAAAGAAAATTCACACATTTCTATATACATCCTCCCATTAAAAGGGGAACACCTCCTAAATTATGAATTCCAACAATATGATCTTTCCATGGTCAAAAACCAGAGAAGTGTCAAGCCTGTGATGTCATCAAGTATTAAGTCTGGAGCTGCTTCATAGACAGTGAATAGAAGACTGATTGTGTGGGTCCATTGAATGCTTGGTTCCTTTTTTATACACAAATTAGCTTTATTCTATTGATGTGTACAGTTCTGACACAGAAAATGTACCCATACTCTCAGAACATTACCCTGGCTGCACTTTGTGTCATCTATAACATCTTCATTTATTGTCATTGTCTCCTATATGGAGCAGTTCCACACTTTACTTCATGACATCACAAGTTGAGTTCTAGCACTCTGGATTTAGGATTTCAGAGAGTGTTTGGCCTGTCTAAGATCATTAGACCAACATGTATGAGTTTTGCAAATGGGGGTAGTTCCCCTTTAAGTATTCATGGAGAAGATAAATTCACAAAATCTAATGAATACCAGGGGACAGACCAAAAAATTGGCTACGCTACTTTTTCGGCTTGTCTTGCATAAAGACAAAAGGCAAAAACTAGAAAAGGCCTGACTTTGTTATCTCTGTAGCATTTGTGGTTATCCATAAAAAAATATTTCATACCATACCTCTCTCATTTCTTTTATCTTGGAGCCTCCTTTACCTATGAGGGAGCCACACTGACTGGCCGGCACCACAAGCCTTAAGGTGACTGGGGGCTTGCTGGTTGCTGGGCTGTTGCTCATGGAATTGATTATATCCTGGAAAAAGAGAATGTATAATTAATTTTGCAGTGGTGAAATTTTTCTCAATGTGACCCAAACAAATCAATGAATCAGTGCACAGTCTCAAAGGTGTGTTTCAATCATTCTTTCATATCTTTTCTGCTTTGTGAATGAGCACTGCTCTCTGTCTGTGTCAGTAAATAACGAAAGCCTTGTTTCAGCAGACCAGATTTTACACACATCACTAAGGACACAGCAGAGGGTCTCCTCTTGCAAGTTGCAGTCACAGTGCTTCGGTATATCAAGTAATTGAGTCACATCAAAGACACGATCAGAGGAAAAAGTTGATTTAAATTCCCTCAGTCATGGGATACAAATATCTACCATGATGGAGTATGCGCCTTATATAGATGTGCTGTATGTATGTACCCATACAGAAAAGTCTGTATACTGTATATATTTAACAACTGGAGATTTATTTTGCATGTGTAAAATATAACCATTGTATAAACTAAGTTGTGGTCCTTTAAGATATAAACAGATCTTTGTGTCAGCTCTTTCAAATTGAGATACAGCACCTGTGTCAAAAATGACAGTAATAAATTCCAGGCACACCTTGTGTGTACATAAAGATGGCAAAAGGCCTTGAACCCCCATTAGACCTGCATTTTTCACTTTATATAGAAACACTGCTGTCACACTCTCCTCATACCTCCTCGAATTTGTAGGCAATCATAGCAAATGCCTTGAAGATGGTGTCTGTTGGTCCAGTGATGGTGACAATCCTCTCTGGACAGTTGCCTTCAGAAATATTGATTCGTGCTCCGCTCTGGAAAAACAATGCAAACATACTGTTAATGGGGTCAATACAATTGACACGAGTCCTTAATCTCGGAATAAATAAATACAAAATTTAAATAATCTATTCATTATTGAATTATTTAAACTGTGTTTAGACTGAAACCCACCTCTTCTCGCATCTTTTTTACTGTTTCCCCTTTCTGTAAAAAAGTACATTTTATTAAATCACTTTTTTTTTAATGATTAAAATCATGGTTCATACATTTATTTCCACAAGTACAAACATGTGTGATTTAATAAAAATGTCATACCTTTCCAATTATGCTTCCAACCTCCTACAATAACAAAACAACAGACAAGAGAGTAAAACATGGATTTTCAGACAATGATTAATTGAAGAAGGTGCAAACAGTACAAGGACAAGCAAAGGGTTCACAGCTGCATGGCGGTGTGGAGGGACACACTTACCATTTGCATGTAATTACTCTTCATGAGCTTGGTGTGGCACACTGAGCAAAAGGCAGAGGGCCATAAGCTTCAACACAGGGTTACATCCATTGTGACGTTAAAGCTGCATGCCAGTTGCGGCTCAAGTCTTTAGCTTGTTGCTAAAAATTGCAGATTGTTTGATAGATGGATGACATGACATTATCTTAATTCTTTTTTTACTTTTCATATATTTTCAAATAGGTGGCTGTGATCTAAAAGGGTTTTAAAGTCCTTTTTATTTCATCTTGACTTAATTAAAGCAATTATTTACATTCACAAAGGATTATAAAACGTTACATAGTAAAAATACTTTGTTGTTGCCCTAAAATATTCTTTTAGGAATTTGTACTTCATTCAAGCATTTTCTATCTTTTTACTCAAACCTTTACTGCACGACAATTTATGTATTCATCTATTTAATTATCCATGATTTATTATATTGTATGATGGCAAGTTACTGTCCATCATTAACAAATGACATGTTGTCTGTTTCCATGCATTCCGCAACTTTATTACAATAGATCTATTCAAGCTCTTACACAATGATGCATCACTCACATCTTACAGTTCAACCAACTCTTAGCTACAATAAATCGAATCAGATGCATATCTTTACGACTGAATTTATGCTTCGAGAAATCTCACACCCAGATCTGAGACCCTGTGTGGCTCAGGATTAGAGTGGGTCGTCCTCACTCAATCAAAGGATCGGCGGTTCGATCCCCACCTTGTGGTGTATGAATGTTAGTTAGTTATGATGGGCAGGTGGCCCCTGCAATCAGTGTATGAATGGTTGTGAATGGTTGAATGACATGTACTGTTAAAGTGCTTTGAGTGGTCGGAAGACAAGAAAAGTCCATTTACCATTGACAACCTGCGCTCACCACTTCTGCTTATACAAAGTCTAGAAGACAAACATCCAGGACAGTACATACTCCACCTTCAGGGACACGCGTGTCCACCACAAAGTCTTTCAGATGTCCTGCGCCACCAATACAGTGAAGCAAAGAGCTCTTATAGACTGGCCCATATAGACCATGCTGACAATGCTTTCTAACACCGCACCCAGCCCAACCAAATGGCAGTCTTCTGCTGCAGTGAGCAAAAGAGCCACACCAGTGTCATGCTGCCAAATGTCCTCCCCCATACACCATTTACTATACATCTCTGGGGCCTGACTGGGTCTGTCTTGATGCAGGGTTATTCAAACTGTCACTGGGTCACCGGTGTCTGGAGCTCCTGCATGAGCAGCCATGCAGTAGGGTGAATCATCGGGCTGCAGATTGATCAGCACAAAAATCAAGGGGAAGATTCTGTCCTTGTGCCGTACACCCCACCAACAAGGCCAACTTAGTGGAGATGTGCAGCATGGGTTTTCCATTTACCTAGCGGCCAGAAGACCTCCCTGAAGACGAAGGCATTTAAACTTTCATTCAATTTCCCTCATTACCCTTTAATAAACTCTGAAGACATAACTGAGGCAACTTGCTTGCCACTTTTAGTTTGTGAATCACAGCGTTAGCACCTAACTGCAGAAGGGACAGGAAAGCAATGGCCAAGTTAACTGAGCATGATGATCTTAACCAGCGGGGGCAAACACACACACACACAAAGAGTAGAAGGGGAAGAGAATGGAGGAAGAGCACAGTACACATAAGTGCTTGAACAAAAAATCGATGGTGGTGCCCACTTACTCTGTGCCCTGGGAATCCTGAAAACACTAAGGGCAGACAGACAGGAACACACTGAGCAGAGTCGGTAGAAGCCTGTCACTCTTAAAGTCTGGAAGTGGAGTCTCTGCTTGTGAGCTCTAATCAACCGTCCCCATCCCAGAGGCTCGGTGCGTGTACCAACGCAATAAACTGTTGTGAGGTCAAGCTAGTGCAGAGAGCTGGACAGTGGCACTGAAAGACAAAAGACAGCTGCTGCCCAGCTACCACGATGTTCTTATACAGAGAAACGTCAACGGTCGGGGAAGATGAGGGTGCAACAAGTCCAACATCTGTATCAATTCTGTCACGCTATATAAGGCTTAGGAAGGTGCAAACTGCTGTGGGATCAGCAGAGCTAACATCAAAGCTCTGCACTTCCATCTTTAACACTAAAGGTCATGTTTTATTTCCAGTTGGATGTCGCAAGCTGCACAGAACCCCCTGTCATGGTGAGACTGGGAGAGGAGCGGCAGCAATACACCAAGGAGATAAGATGAGCTTTCATATTGATCTTTCAGGGTGAAAATGGATGTACAACTGCAGTGGATTTGTGAGTTCAACTAGTTTACTGGGCTGTTGTTGCAGAAAAGCAGAGCTAGTGTAGTATACTAATCTTCAACGACAGATTTAGAAAAGAATGGTCAGCAGCTGAGGCTTTTAGTCTCTACTGTGGGTCATGCTTCAAAAACATCTGGGTCCGTATACTTCCCATAATGCAACCAATCATATTTTCATTAGACCTTCCCTGCCTGGTAAATGCAAATGTCTTCCATGTGGTCAGCTTGTAACATAGGTTCTCTGTTCAGAATCAGAAAGTCCAAGCAGAGATAAACAGCTGATGACCTTATCAGGGTTATGAAGTTATTTTGAGTAGGAATCTTCTTGACAAGCATAAGTATAAAAGCGGTGAGGTGACCCTTAAAGTAACGATGCTACTGTTAAATTTTGCCCCCACTGACTTCAATTCATCATGACTTCTCTGTTTTTTTTTTTTATTCTCCTTTCGCCGTGAAGGTATGCAAAAAGTTTTATCAAAGAATTCAAGGTAACATGCGGAGAGTAATGTAAAAACAAATTATTTTGTGGTTGAAGTATTCCTTTAAAACAGGGGTGTCAAACTCATTTTCACTCCCGGCCACATCAGCATCATGGTTTCCCTCAAAGGGTCGGTTGTAACTGTAAGACTGTATTAGCTAGCTGTGTTGTTAGATTAGCTGCTAGTTCCTGAACTCGGTCTGCGATGGTGTTTCTTCACAAACTGACATTTGTAAAAGTCTGTATCTGATCGGAGCTCACCTGCTCACATACCTTTAGCATGCACTAGGCTGTAGCTTTTGTAAATACATTCTGCTGTGATTGCAGTCTGCCTTTTAATTATTGGACAATTTGATGTTTTTCTTGGAGGTTAAATTTAGCTCCGTGTTTGGTGTCAAAATGCCGACGTGAATTGTATCCTTCATCACCGACACGCATCATAACACAGAAGACAGACCCGTTTTTTCTCCCTGAAGCACAGACATGTATTCGCTTTCCCATCTTAAATTACATCTTCTTTTCAATTTTTCTCTTCGTGGACATTTTGGGATTATTTGTCGATCTTTTTCAACTCAATCACTTGTTGGAAAACCGCTTTACGGGCTGTTCCCTCTCCTGTCCACCTGTTGTAATGTCACAGACAACATGCTATCTCATAATTTCAACTTTCTATCTCATAATTTCGACCATGGGGATATTTTTATTTTCAAGTCTAACTTAAATTTTTTTATTTATTTTTTTTTTGCTGGTGGATTCGCGGGCCACATAAAATGACGTGGCGGGCCGGATTCGGCCCGCGGGCCTTGAGTTTGACACGTGTGCTTTAAAAGGTCAAAAATTACTTTAAGGCCCCTTTAATGAAGAAACAAATTGCCAACATGTCTTTCCCTTCTACTACAGCCAGCATAAATGTCTGTGCCTGCTTACTTTTCCATGCATGAGGAGGCGGATGGTAAGAGTGACATTGAGGCCACCATCTGACTGGACTTTGGTGGGCTCCATGCTTGGGGAGGGGGGGGGGGGGGGGGGGGGGGGGG